TGACTTGATGAAGTTTTTACACGAGGCGATGATCATCTTCAATGAGAATCCAGGTTTCCAGAAGGAGATTTCGTTCTTCGGGGGAATCAGGTTGTCATCAACAATGACGGAGAACTTCTTCAAAACGAGGAGAGGACCCAGCATCCATGTGGAAAAGCAGGTAATCGGCAACGCCAAGTACTACCAGGGATCCTATGACCTTGGCAACGTATGCTACACCAAATACCTCAAGACCATATTGGAACCCGATGTATTCCGCACTATATTCGGAAATGATCCCACAGAGGAACGGGTAGGTGACATGGTGGAGGCGTTGCTGGGCATGTTCGAAATTGCTCAACTCTTCAGACACCTGTTCAGGGGATGGGGTGACATCGAAGCTTTGAGGACGGGATTAGAGGAATCCATCAAACGCGTCACTGCATCGCTGTACGACAGGACAACGTATGAGAACCGAAAGCGATCGATGATTAGAACCATGGACCCGCACTCTGATGAGGCGGCGAACGTGGCGCTGATTCTCGTGCGCATGAGGACCATGCCGCCTCCTGAATTCGACATCGACCACTTCTTCGAAATCGGGAAAGAACCAGAACAGGGAACAGAAGCCACTGACCAGCCCGAGGCCGAAGGTGTCGATATGGAGACTGAATGTGGACAGGAGAAGGAAGAGCAAGATGTTGACATGTCCGACCCGAAGACATCAATACTGCAAGCCATCGACGAATTTGAGAGGAAGATCGGGCAGGCAGAATTCTGCATCCACTGCATGGAGTCGGGACATACAACTCTCAGTTGCAAGAAGACCCTTTCATCTTCGCCTTCAGTCACCTCGGTATTGAGTGATTGGAAGAAGAGAGTGAAGGGAGAGGTTGCGCCCGACGATGTACCATCTGGACATCCAACCGAGGAACCTAAGAAGAAGAAGCAGAGAGCATCGCCTACACCGGAAAGAAAGGTCGACAGCGAGTTCAAGCGTAAAGAAATGCTAAAAGCAAGAGTCGTGACCATGTTCGATCATGACGGATTCACCTTGATCGAAAGTGCTGATGGAGTCGAAGGAGGGCCACATTCCTACAATGGGCGGAAGCTTGCGGAAGCAGGCCCTAGGGATATGAAAGTAGTGTACGAATTTGTAGAGAAGGCATTTGTGCACTCCAGTTCCCTCACACCAAAGGCCTGTCATCACTTCTATCCCCTACCAACACGGAGGGAGAAGGGATACAAGCCGATCGACCCCATGACGATGATCGGGAAAGTTGAACTAGTACCGATCAACGGAGTCACTTTCGCTGCAAAGAACTCCGACTACGGCAACCACAAGTATCCGACTCCAGACTGTCGAGTACCTGAATACAGCCAAGCGAGCCAGGCCTTGAGTCGTCGATTGGGAGCGAAGTTGAGACATCGAATTGGACGCCAGTTCAAAACAGGAGGAAGACTCGCACCAATCAAATGCGATGAAGGCGCATGGGTGTCATGGGAAGACCTGTTAGGTGATAACGCAGTTTGGGAAGACGGTTATCACCATGGCAACATAGATATCGTGACCAAGAAGGCGCGTTTGGAGAAGTACTTCGACCAGAACTATGAGTGTTTCCGCATAACCAAGAGGGTCAGATTCCAAATGTTGGCAGTCCGCGTTCACCCTGATGAACTCAATGAGCCTGATGACCCGATGGAGAAGGAATGGATTGACGATCTCAAGGACATGGGAATCTCCAAAGGAAGACTCCACCATAGCGACGGATGGTGCTTTCCCGTGGCCGTAAGAGCAACCTCGGCACACTCAACGGACGGCGGAGGTTATGACGTTACCATTAACATCGACCACATTGGATCGAGAATGACCAACGACATGGCCCTATCGATGGTGACTGCATTTCACGCTACCAATCTCGGAGCGCTGACTTCAATCATGCGACGAGGGCTAGTGCCAGGAGGTCTCGGTTCATCGGAAAGGGATTCTATCCACTTCACATGTTTTCCGCCATGGGCCTGGGAGCAGGGCTACAAGGGAAAACCTTGGCTGGGTCGCAAGGTCGCATTGAGTGATCGCCCGGTGGTTCTCTACATTCCGGTGTGGAAGCTGCAGGAGTACGGACTTCTCATCTCAGCGACTGGCTCTCTATTGGTTGAGAACGTCGTTCCCTTCGATGAGGTTAAAGGGGCATGGTTGCAATGCGACAATGCGGAACCCGGACAGCCTGAGGAGATCGAATGGATCCGGTTACTCAATGGAGAACCCGACCCTGGAAGCTACCTTGTTCTGGAGTCCAAATACGGAAACCCGATCATGATTCCACGCTTTCAAAAGCTTGAGAGTTTAGCGGTTGAGGTTCAGGACGATACCTACTCCGAGGACGACGCCAAAATCTCAAAGCTGTTGGGTATGATCGAGGAGAGTGGTGTTTACCCAGAATATGATAGCACCGAGTGGCAGGAGATCTTTGAGGAGATCGTGTACCGCCGAGCAATGAAAGACTATGACTCAAGACCGTGTCCCAACTGTCTTGGCGAAGTCGATGTGCGATTGACGATATGTCCGCACTGCGTAGCGGTTTTGATCGCGAATGGGAAGCTCACGCACGTGGTACCCAAGGAGACAAGGGACCGCAATCAACGGTCACCACCGAAAGATGTCCCAGCCAGTTCTTCAGGTGAAACAACTTCTGCTGCAGGTGCAAACATCGATGAAGTCATCAAGAACGCACGCAAGACAGCCGAAGAGGTCATTGAGATCGAGGAATCCGAAGGAGAGGAAGACGAGGAAGTTCCTATCATTTTGAAGGAACGACCGGACGAAGCTGAAGGCGAACCCGAATATCGGGAGGTCCCTCAAGATGGATACGGGAATGAACTTCCGCAGCCTTTCCCCTTCGCAATTGACGAATTGCCGCAAGAAGCTGCGATCCCCATCGACCACAACTTTGCCGTCACACAGCAATTTGATCTGAGGTTGATGAAGTTGATCAAGAGCTTGGCCAACGCAACGTTCGACATCAACTGCTTTGAAAGTCGTGAAGATGTACTGCGAATGTTCGACGATGGACAGCGGCATGACACTCCGCACAATAGATGGCCGATAGTACCGAATGATCCGGATACTGGGTTTCCAAGACGTCTCCAGAGAGCCGAGGTCGTAGGCATGAGCAGATGGACCGACGACGTGTATGCAGCAGAAGCATGGCAGATCTATGAATTCCACGCCCACGTTGTTCACCCGATGATGATCACTGCAATCCGCTGCGGGCTTAGCCACAAGTACCTCAAAGAGGTCGGCAGCACTCGGCGTAACATGAGTGATCCAAAGGCTCGAAAGTCTGAGACCCAGGATGAGATCATCGAGAAACTGGCATTCATCTCAAATTTCATCAGACGCTTGATCAGGAAGACCTTCGGAGCGAGCCGGTATAGTTACTACCAGAAACCAGATGACGAAAGTGCCGCTCCATACAAATTCATCGACATTAGCCCCGCCATCAAATCGGAGAGGAAGAATGTCACGAAGGAGATCCTCGTTGCATGCCGCTATTATGGCATAGAGGTATCCGCTATTCAAGCACAGAAATTGAAGTCCTTCGAGGAGCAGATCCGAAGGGGAAACCCAAGGAACGTTGAGCTCATCAAGGACTACATTGGCTTTGTCGGCGCTGACTACATGCGACAACTCACGAATGGTTGAGCATTGGGGTCATACCGACATCCCACTTCCGGTACTTCAAGTACTGAGGGATCTTGGGTAATTCATGATGACCGTTTTGGCATCATGGGAGTGAGAGAGGATTGTGTTTCACACCGTTGGTAATCGCATGATACCATAGGTAGGTGCACGTTTTCCGCTGGTAGCTCCATTACCTGTTTGATCCAACTTTCAAGCGAATGCAAAATCTTTTGCTAATTCAATTCAATAGGACATACTGGTTGACCTCCAATACACTTTTGAGAACACGATTCGTTCTCCGGTTTTTACATCCACTCATCTCCCTTCCCCGTCGAAGTACGGATGTGGGGGGTGTCAATAGGGATGAGGTCCCAGTATAGTCGCTATACAGGTACATGCCATATACTTTTGGCTCAAGTGCCCAACCAGGTAAAAAGGAGCTTTAGCGCGCGAGCTTCATGTTGAACTAAGGGCTAGAACGGGGCCAGGGCACACCTTTCCATCCGTTCGCAAAAGGAATCCAGCACTCTCTGAAGTGGAAAAGCACTTGTTTAGGTTCCCTAGGGCTCCAACCATATCCTCAGAAGGTGGTTAGACCCCCCAAACCCACCCCAACCACCTTCTCAGGAGGTGGTTGGAGCCCTAGGGGTTATGAGGACAATGGTCATCCGAGTCGTTCAGCGGCGGCCATGCCATCTACGGACGGCCACCATGATGATTCCACGTTTCCTTCGTCGTGTCTCGTTTGTTTCATAGGATCGTTCACCGGATGACGGTGATATTTGGAAAGAACTGGAAGGTTTTGGGATCCCTGCTCTTGTTGGGCTTGTGTTTTTTCCAAGTGACCAAACCCACCAAAGCCAACAGCCTCCCCTCAATGGGATGGCACTGTGGATCCAGTTTGATTGAGTAATATAATGTAATTAGACTATCTATATGTTCTGAACATCCTGGAATAGGTGGAACATGGACATGCGAACCAGTGCGTGAGGGGTGGCGTGTAAACCCAGTTCCTTCCTGTTCCACCTCAACGCTCCATCAACTTGACGCAACTGACACGTTTGCTAAGAAAAAAACACGCAAACTCGGTGTGTGAAGGAAGGTGCGGACGACCATTACTTAAGCCTCTGGTGCTGACCATGTCATGTCTCATCAGTTGAGAGTCCAGTGGGCGGAGTGGTTCATACCCAAACACTATGGAATATAGCTAGTTGTATACTTACATTGGGGCTCGTAAATCCGGTACATGTATGTAACTGTTACATGGAGTGTTTGGGATAAATCCTCCTCTGAACTCTGAACAGATGGCAATGTCATCAAGATCCCCATGTGCCAGGAGGAGGAGCAAGAGAACGCCTTCACGCGCGATGATGAGTGATTTGGCAGAAGGATCAGAAGGGGTCACAAGCCAGAGAACAGTAAACTAAACATTTCGAGTTTGCTTGTGATTGGTAGAACCCAGCACTTTGGCTTTACTTTCTCTGAAGCCACTTGATTCTCTGAAGCAAATGGATGATCACGAATCTGCTTGCGGAAGCTGAATATCGACCAACATGAGCTAGATCTGCCTGAAGTCTCCGGTTTGTTACCACCCCAGAAATGCTTTGTCGACCCAGTTTCCACTCTACCTCCAAATGTGTCCTTCAAAAGCTGTGCGGTACTTGGGGTGAAGTTCACATGTCTACGCCAAGATGCAGATCCAAAGTTCAGATTGCCAACTTTGTCTCGCTTCCGGAGGCCATCGCTAGTAACTTGGAGGCCATCACTTCTAGTACCCTAGGGCTCCAACCATATCTTCAGAAGGTGGTTAGACCCCCCTGGCACCCACCCCAACCACCGAACCTCAGGAGGTGGTTATTGGAGCCCTAGGGGTATGTCATCCTCTTTGCGGATCCAAAATTCAGACCCAAATGGACCCGAAATGGATCCGGTTTGGTGAGTCACGCCGTCCGTCTGGCTCTCTTGAGTCGGGTCATGGAACAGAGCTCGAGGCAAGCCAATCCATGGCGAGCTCAAGTGTTGTCCGATGCGCCAAAGGAGGAGGGTGAGGCCGGAGGTAGGAAAGAACATGGTTTGTTATGTGGAATTCGATGAATGACCACCCTCCAAGACATGGATTGTAACGCCATATTCAAACCTCTTCGTGTGGGGGGTCCATTAATCCAGAGTCATTAGCAAAGCCTCTCAACCCTCAGAGGTGGAAGATCTGGCACAACCATTGACTCAGAACAAGAAGCCGTTTTCCACTCCGGCCACTGTTGGACTCCCAGATATCTGGAGTTTCATACCGAAAATGGCCCCAGTCGTTGGTCACGGGTTCTTGAAGTCGGGTCCAGATACTCGTATCCTTTGGCAGACTGCTGGGGGGGGGTCGAGTTCGAAAGGCCTTTTCAGGAAAGGGCGGGGAAAGCTAGTGAAGCGCAAGCACAGAAACTCTGGCGACGCAAAATTCGATCAGAAATGGACTCAGACCTGGGGGACAGAAAGATGCTGCTTCGGGCAGTGGATGTTTGCTGTGCTGCATTTGTGCTGTTTTGATTGTCAATCGCTTCCATCAGTTCGTGAATTGGACCAGCTGTTGGTCCGCGTGCTCTCGTGCAGACGCTTGGGCCGCTTGGGCCTTGGGCAGTCATCACGTAGGCAGAATCGGTTTCCAAGCCATCATTGGCAGGGCAGTCTTTCGTGCCAAAAAGCCTTGTTGTTGATCGTGGTTCGGGGGTTCACTTGAAGGTTGTGGCAATATACTGAGCCCAAAGTGTTCCTCAACCAGCCATCTAATCATCCTCCATAAAGTAGATGGAGTCCGGAAAGAAATAAACAGTCAGTATCAGCTTTCGGTCGAATACAGACGACGTCCACTGGATGAAGGGATTCTGCCAAACGCACCGCAGGGCGAACGGCCCTTCTACCGGTTGTGCCACTTTCGTGCGCGGCCAGAGCAGCCACAGCTGCCTTTGGATGATGAGCTTTGGCACCTTGGAGAAGGTGTCTTTCGATGTGAAGCGCGTGCATCCATGTGGCAAGGGCCAAGGGCCACTGGATGGGGCGGTCAATATATGTGTTTTTGTTTTTATACTTATATTGTGATGCAAATGTCCTGTTGGAGGGTCCAGGTATTGATATATTATAATTGCCTTGTTTTTTGCATTCATATCTACTCGTATTTCATTAAGGGACCATATGCTTTGTCGTTCCGTATCGTTATGTAACTTCCAGCAGCCAGTTCACCAGTATGTGTAGAGATGTGTAGAGCATCGTGCTGTGGATGCTGACAAAAAAATAACTCTTGTAACTTATTGACGAATGTCAACATCTGGTGCCACCGGTAACGTAGGACTGTACATGGACCTCCAAATTGCCTCAGAGAATGGCACCCACCCTTTCAAAAACAGGTACCAGGACCTTCTGAGAGGTATCTATAAATAGCCTCTTAGAGGTCAAGAGGTGTCCAAAAACCACCGGACTTGGAAGGTCCTGGTGTTGTAGTACTCATTTTCCTGTCGTTACTTCCACAAATCAACTCCCATCCACTCGAGGCTGAGCGACAACTTCTTCCGTCCCAGTTGGGTAGGCGGTGGACATCCGGGCATGCAGATTGATGTCACGGTAATGGCTGTGGATCAAAACCAGCTCCCAAGCCTGGTAGGCTGACCTTCCTGGTCATTGATTCTGTCTATATCTTCGGTGGAAAGACATGTGTCTTCCCTCACATTCGACCTTTGGATCCCAAAAACGGCTGGAAGATGCAAGTCCAGTCAAGCCATCGGGCTGGCCTAGCTCCGTTTTGGTTCACCGGCGGCGGGGCTTGTTCAATCCCTACGTTCGATGTGGTTGGAGATCCCTACAGGTCTTTTGGACCCCATTTCACTGGACGGTCGTGTGATGCAAAAACAGTGCTCGATGATGTCAAGCTAATTGGTTTTAATTGGTTCTTGGACTGGTAGCAATTGTTCGAGCTCTAGGGATAAGCCATGGAATTTCAGTCTGAAGCCGCCCCTGCTTAAATAGTCATCGATTTGGACGCTCCTGAGAGTCTTGGAGCTGCCGAGGAGTTCTGGTACTCACAGGATTGGTTTCCCCACTAGAAATAGAATTCCAACGGCCATATATTTAGATGGTTCTTACCCAACATAGTAAATAGTCTTGTCAAATGGTTGTCAACACTTTTGGTGTTTGATTTATAGTCACATCCTGGCAAGCTTTTCAAGAACAATGTATCAAGTCGAACGAAAGGCGAAGGGACAAAGGTGGAGAAAGATGGGTAAACGGTTTAAACCTTGGACTTCCAGGTAAACCGCTCGGGAGTGGAAAAAGGTCTGGGGATGCTGGACGTCCGCGAGGGGTGAAATCGTTTGGTTGGCAGGCCCGACGTTGCTGGTCGTTTTGGGTGGCAAATTGTGGCAAACAGAAAGACCGGAAGAAAATGCCACTGTGGAGCTGGTTGAGAGATCATAGGCTTTCTCAAACAACGACTTGGAGGTTCTCGGATGGAAGGACGCCGACGTCCCTTGTGAGTCTAGTGGGGTTTCTCCTCACGACTGCTGGCTGCTGTGCTTAAAGATGTTTCGCTTTCCCAACAGGTCGCCATGCCCCACATATCCCCACATGTTGGACGAGACTGAAGTTGCCAGAAGGACCTCACTCAATGGCGTCATACGGAAGATCAAGTGAGCAACGTCATTGGATCACCACTGGCTCCACTGGCCGGCTTCACTGGCTCCACTACCCTCCCAGGTGGTTTTCCTTCCTACTCGTTCGTAGACTTTTATAAGTCGTTCACCACTTGGAAGCAATTTCTATTTCCAGCACATCTCTGTTTTCTCTTTCCACACCTTCCGAATCGACTTCGTTTGTCCCTGGGCCCCACGGAGCGGGGCAGGCCTCGGGGAGAGACGCTTGAAGACGGCCAGCGTCTTGCTGGAGTGGCACCCGGAGATCTCTCAGGTGGGGACGATCTGAAACGGATTGAAAAGGGATGTTGATCGGGCCCTGGGTCGAAACCCACATGGTTTGTACGACATCTTCCAGTCTGGTCCATGAATTTCAGGTGAACAATGCGGGTCTCTTCCCGGGTGTATCTCAAATCGGCCTTCAAAGATGTTCAAATCACATGCCGAATGTAGAAGGTTCCTTGGGGACATATGGTAAATGGTGACTCCTGGACCTGACTTCGTTCATTCCCGAACGAACATGGGACATGATCGGAAAAAAAAACAGCTAAGACTTGCCGACTTGCCGACTTGCTACCATAGACTCTGCCAAGTAGACAGGTACTACATATATACTGTATACCAGGACCCTCCAAGGGGTGCCCAATGGAAGCCTATAGGTAGTGTGGGGTAGTCCATTGGACACCCCTTGGAGGGTCCAGGTATACACTGTATAGCTTATATACCAACATCATTTGCCAACAAGTGTAATCTTAGACTTGAACAATTATGAACCGCTCGAGTAGACTCTGCCTACTTGCTTGTTTGTGTTGTCCACCGCTACGATGACCGACCGACGAATGGCCGCTGGGTCGACACGTGTTCGACCAAGGCGCGGCAGAAGCGTGGGATGCAGAAGCGGGTACGTCGCATCTTCGAAGAGTTGCAGCAGACAGGCGTCCAAAAGGGCGGTTTCCGAAAGATTGGGTATCAAGTCAGAGAGAGAGAGGGGAGGGACCATCAGTTCCATCGAAGGACTTTTCGTCCCATCAATGTGAGACCAGGTCACCTCGAATCCTCCGTGGGCTGCACCGTGACATGGAACTGCGGCCGCACCGGTGCATGTGCCGAAGGACGTTCTGAGGTGCCTCAAGTTGGGCCGAATGTCATATACCAAGAGCAACTAAGGGTGTCTATTCAAAGCCCCTGACGTTAAGGGATTTCCACCCGACAGTGGGTCTTGGTATATGCATGCAGCATGCATCATGTATGCTGAGCATGAATCGCCCTAACAGGATGGATTTGGAAGGTGTTTTTCTGCAAAAGGGACATGTTGGCCATTGTGAGCAGGGAGTGTATATACCCAGAACTGACACAAACCTTGCAATCCGGGTTTTGGGTTGTTCAGCTTCACTGGAAACACACAAAATTCTGGACATGAAAGTACACCAGGTGAGCACGGAGAAGTAGTACCTTGATACATGCTTGTAGCAATTTCATCCCATGTCTTCTTTCGGTCACCTCCATGTTCCAAGGTACCTGAAAAATACTACACAAAGTTGTGCCATACGTCATCATACGTCCAAAGTTCGCACAAGTTGGGGCTGGGGTAAGCAGACTTTCTCTGAAGTAGCGAACGAACCTGTCCTCATCTCAGATACCACGTTTCCGGGTGGGTTTGCGTGTGTTTCCCCCACAGAGCCCTGCCTGGCAGGTGTAGCACCAACGGAGGCAGCGATGAAAGCCCTGATGAAAGCCAAGGTGGGATGTTCTGCAAAACTGGGTTGGATCCTCCAACGTTTGACGACCCCCTATCATGACCCCCAATGTCTAAGATACTTGGAGGGATTTGGAGGGTAGAGGTTACCAAGAGGTTGGGCCTTGTGCCTTGTGCATGGGCCTTGTGCCTTGCTGTGTCTTGTTGACACATGTCATAAAACCGTTTGACAAACATGTGTACACCATAAAGCTGAATAGCATTCAATCTTACACATGGCTCATGATCAAAGTTGGTGTTGTCCAAATGAATGCATCCACCAGCTCCTTTCATTCTAGACAGCAGTGGCAGCATGGTCCTGAAATTGCTGTTGATGTGATTGTTTTTGGCTTCGGAATGTAACACGCCCTGAACCGTACCTGGAGTCTCAAGGTACCTCGGAAATTTGTACAAGTGCATTGCAAGTGCCTGTTGTTTTTAGCGTCATGTCCAGGGTTCTCTGGAGGGTCCAGGTATAGGCTGTGGATATTCTTGTTGCATACTGGAATATGAATTATAATATACTTCTCTAGCTTGACCCTTCTTTGTGGCCAATGGAAGTCAATGACGAAGGCACCATAGACTTGCTGAAGAGAGGCTCATCCACAGTGTTTACACAGCAAAGTGCACGAAATCTGTAAGACCACCTGAAGACCTTTGCAAGGCACTCAACTTACACCCCTGCAGACGATATAACGATTGTACAGAGCATGGACCCGGAGAATTGACCCATAGGGGAAGACCATTTTCTGAAGACCATTCCATAGTGTTTTGAGCCACATATAGCCACGTTGAAACCCAAGGATCAATATTGGGGACAAAACAAGCACATCTCCTGTCGACATACCCAGGATAAGTGGATGAACCGCAAAATACATTTAATTTAGGGAATTGGTGAAACCCCACTAGAATCCAACCAGATCCCCCTGCTTGGGTGTCTATGAATGTTTGCTAATAGCCCAAAAAGAGGTGATTGGTGTGTCCAGTTTACCACTCCTAAAGCAGGGGGGCTTCCATCACCTTCCACTCTGCCGCCTGGTCCACCGTCCCCCGATGTTCTCCACCAACCTCAGTCACTCCGAAACGCCTCACGCCGTCGTGTTTCATCTCGTCCCAGGAGTCCCATCGTTCGACATCGTTCGACGTTTCCCAGGAGTCCATTCGCACTGAACCCTTGACGCCCGAAGAGTTGGCAGGACCGGATGACCACTGTCGCTGTCGATCACGGTCGGTTCCGAGAGTCGGACACGGGAGCGGTCGGACGGTCGGTTCCCGAGAGTCGAAGGACGCGACGGACATGGACTGGTAACGTGGTGTTTCTAGGCAGTGGACGTAGACCGGTGGAGGAGAAAGGTCTTCCTTTCCAGGCAGCGTCCTCCCATCCAGGATTTGAGGAATCTCCATCTGTGTCAATCCTCACGGGTCTTGATCTGGAGTTGACCTGTGACTTCGTTGTCTCGACTCCCAGCATATTCAATGTTGGTTTTGGGTCAATGTCTCATTTTCGATTGGTGCGAACGGCACGAATCGGGTACGGCTGTGGGGTGCCGACATTCTTGGTTTTGTAGCTTAGAACATGGGACACGCAACAGCTACGAGGCTTTTCCCCTATTGTCCGAGGTACGAACAGGTCGACTCCAGGTAAGTCAGCTGATCTTCGAAAAGTATGGAAGAGAGCCGACCAAAGAATCCTGTGGGAGAACGTGGCCAATGCACTAACTCTAGTGGAATGGGGTATGTTTGCCAGGATGTGCGCGCCAAGATCATGGAAACTGTTGTCTCAAGAAGAGCCAAGTTCGGAGTATGAGACCTCCTCACTAAAACAGTCTCTATTAGACTCTGAATATTCCACGTCACTTAGGTACTCCGATGTATTATATAAGTAAGACCTGTGTCCTTTGGTTCTTCAGCACTAAGACTAAAACATTCAGACATATGAACAATCAGTCATGTTGGCATCCCGCGAGGCGTCAACAGAGGATCCTGTAGGGATCTGAATTAGTGATCAATATTCAGCTTGTCATCCTGATGCACGCCCTTATCAACAGGTTGCGAACACTCAAATCCAATGAGCCTATTCTGCATGGTGAGATAGAAGTGCCTTTCCACAAGAGCATTCCGACACCGCACCGATCAATACGAGCGGCTTGAATCATGGCCCTGGTGTGTGGCTTCGGCATTTGCAAGCCTGCTGCGCTCTACAGGTTTCTTTTGCTCGTTCCAGCAAGACAACACACTCAGAGACCGCCTGAAGTCTTCCGTGGTCAACCGGGGTGCTTCCCGTTTTGACCCACAGTCATATCTACACTACACATCCGTTTGGAAGAAAGGGCCAAAGATGGTGACTGAGACAGCAAGCTTGTCGACAAGTCAGACAGCACCCAGGTTGACCTGATGTTCAAATATGTTGTTCGTATTTTTTCACCCATGGGCCCATGGCAACTGTTTAGTTCCCTCGCTTTGTTTTTTGTTTTTTTTTCCATAGGTCCCCTAACACGGTTCAACCGTCCCTGAACCGGCTCCTGGCCCACATCCAGGTTCCCCCACATCCATCCCACCCACCCCTAAGGTCCGAAGCTCGCGTTGCGCGAAGGTTTGCAGGTCCGGAGAGTGTTGCCCCGCACAGGAAGTGATGAGGGGCATCGCTACCTGGTGCTGGTCACCTTGGCTGAGGCGAAGAAGCCGCACGCCGATTCTGCGTGCTTCTACGTAGCTACTATAAGTAGCTTAGTGTTACTAGCCCTGGGGATCCAAGTACCTTCTCAGAAGGTACTTGAATCCCTAGGGTGGTAGCGATGGCCTCCCACCCAATAGCGATGGCCTCCTATGTCACAACCAGGAGACTCTCCCGGACACGAGCGGCCGGGCCAGTCTCGCTGGTCTTCGTGGCCGAGCGCTTCCCACGATCCTTCAGTTTCTTTGGGCATCAGGGAGTCGTTTATGGTATAAGTATGTATAAGCAGTCTATCCACTGTACAGAGGTAAGCGACAGTCTATGGATCTAGGTACACAACCTATGAACAAGTTTTCAGGCTTGCGCAGGCATGGACGCAGACTTTCAATGCATCGAAATTGACACACGTGGAAGCGGAATGTCATTCAATTTCTGCTTCGGATTATGGGCATTGCTCCTATAGGACATGGTCGTGGCAGGCTGAGAGGAGGATCACCTCACAGTGAGTCATGGAGGCAGCACTATGGCCCCTCCATCAGGGTGAAGTGGCGGTTTGGAGCCCAAAAAGATGCAACATGACGGCCAACAGGCTGTTTTTAGGACCCTCCAACAGGCTGGTTTGGGAGACTAAGAGGTGGTGAACCCGGGCACCGAAATGGTCACCAGGAAACACCTGGCCAGGAGGGTGCTGGTATGTGTTACGTATTTACTTTTTATTGGGTGAAAGGCCGCATCCTGGGGCCAAAACAGGTCGCCATCTTCGAGTCCAATCTTCGAGCCCTGTCGCAACGAACGTGTTGCCGGCTCTTGGTGGACCTAGCTCCAGGTGGGTCCCATCCCCGGTTTCGAGTCCTACCCGTAGGGCGGGTTCGTTGCGTTGCGAGACGGCGCAAAGGCTGATATCCAGATGGGTGAAGGTATTGCTCCTATAGCTCATATATAAGCAAACTGCGACGTATTTTGTGGATGTGTGATGTGCTTTGTGTGCGTTTTGCTTCAGAAAACATCCTGAGGCATGGTGGGAATTCTCCAGAAAGTTCTATCAACACATTGTTGCCTAGGGAGAATCCTGATAAACAAACATGGTTGCCTCGGCATCGCTGATAGTTCCATCAAACAGTTCGCATCGCGATGGACGAGAATCAGAGTTTAGAATCTCAGACCAGCTCGCCAAGTCTTTCATCCCGAGACCCAAAGACCAAACAAGCACAGACAATCGCTGGGGACCCGCACGTGGACATACGTGGACTCCACTTCAAGTACCAAGGAAAATGGGGCATGACCCCATTAAATTCTGGCATGATTGCCTATACACCCATCAATTCACTATGATCTTCACCAAATACATCATTATTTCATGGTATTTGATGTACAGAACTTTCGTAGCTGGAGATAGACGGAGATAGATGTATTTGCTGCTTTGTTGGAGATCACAGGGCGAACAGAACACTTCCCAAACACCCAAACAACATCAACCATCTACTCAACAACGAAGCAATCGGTGTCCTTTGCTGGAAGACCTCCTCCATGTCGGGTGTGCATTCCATGTCAGGGGATCTCCCAGCTCGACACCCTGGAAGAAGGGACATCGACCCAAAAAATGACCAAACGCATCCAAAACCCATTGGGGCCAGGGGGTCTTCCGCATCTAAAACGGTCGACGTGTTCGACCTGGTGTCCGCCCTGGTGTCCATTGCAGCAGGCCGAGACCCTGCGTTGGCTGGCGCGCAGCAGCAGTAGCTCTTCTTCGCCCCTGCGTGATGTGGGCTTCGCGCTCCGGAGCTTGGGTGGAAGGCCCTTGGAGGCGCTGGGTTGACGGGCCGAATGGAGGCTTGTGTGCCATATGGCTGGAACCGAAGGTGTACCATGGGTCAAGAAGCACCAAGTCCGAACTTGGCTGGATGTTTATAGATGCAAAGGCAAAAACGGCAGGAACAGGCGGGCAATACCCTCCTGTTTTTTTGGCTCATGTTTGTCACAGAGTTGTGTTATGTTGTTCTATAGGAAGATCTGGATCAAAGGTCATGTTCCCAACTCAGATTTCAAGGTTTCTCCTGTACTATTGAGACTGATCTCAAAGTCCAGAACATGAGGACCAGATAGTACCTGTTTCATCCTGTTTCATCCAATAGGGGTCATGCTCCATGTGTCTCAGGGTACACAGTCGGGTCCAGATCCGAACCTGCCATCCAGCGACCCGAAGCCTGAGCGCCAGGCCTCCGCTGGCTTCGTGCGTGGTGAGGAGAAGATCGACAGGCTTGTGAGAAACGGGAGAAAACCACTTCTCTTCGGTTGAAGAGGATCATCCACCATTGGCTACTAGTAGCAAGAAGCTACCAGTAACAAAGGGCATCGCTGTAGTTCCACTAGATATAGAACTTATACCTGGACCCTCCAAGGGGTGTCCAATGGACTACCCCACACTACCTATTACCTATAGGCTTCTATTGGGGTCCTGGTATAGAACTACCCAAATGTTTTGGACACCAAGATGATTGGCCCCTGGACAGACCCGGAGAGGGAGAGACCGCCTTCGTCGTGAGACGACGCCCCAGAAATCGGACTCACTTCAGCGCAGGCTCCTGTCACTGGTGCGGCTGTTCAACTGCGAGACCTGGCGAGATCGTTGGAGTGCCCAACCTCCAAAGCACCTGGAAATCCCATCGACCAGGCCCTCAGGCTTCAGTTGGTTCCCCTTGGAACGTCGTGTAGTTCCTGGTCCTTGGAACGTCGACCTGTGTCCTGTTCGTGGCTCAAAATGCCATGTATGGTTTGGAAGCATATCTCTCGTGCTTACGGTGTGTCATCAATGATCTGTTGCTTGTAGATCGGCAACGGACGCGACCATACGCCACCCATCTCACTGTCCAACGACCGAGCGCAGCCATGACCTATCTCACTCTCCAACGGCTGAGTCGCTCTGGGATTTTCCCCATTTCATCCCACCAAGAGTCGCTGTTTGTCCTGTTAACAGAGATCAGCTTAAAGGTGTGTATTGAATTGAACTTGGATGAAATATCTTAAAGCCACGTTTTATGCGCTCTATAATGCGGGATGGATTCGCAAGCTATCGATAAAGCATGGATACATTATAAACTTAGAATTCGATGCTCTAAGATTATAATGATCGAATAAGATCTGACTCTACGGATAATCTCATTTTGCTATAGTTCTATGTTATATAAGTTCTAAGCACTATTGACTAACAAACTGAGATTCTCGGTTTTTTCCGCATGCGGAGACCGGCCCGTCGCCGAGGAGATGTTCTTCACCAAGGTGGAACTCGAGACCTTGGAGGCGCAGCTCCATGAGGCGCGGGAGCGTTTCGGTCCGGAGCGGGGGCCGGGGGGGGAGACTCCAGCGGAGTTCCCATAAACATCCATGGACATCCATAGGCCCAGGGGTCACAGAGCTCGGGGTGGTCTTTAGTCGTCACATCCACAGTGGATGTGACGTGATCAGGCACCTCACTGCGGTGCCCTCGGAGTCCGCATCCAACTCCATGAAACTCCTGGGGTGTGTATTTCCATCGGGAGGGAAGGTGGCGGTGGACCCTCCAAGGGTCACCTGGAGCGGCGTTTCGATCCTTGAACGGTCCTCGTCCCCGAAAATGAGGTCACGGTCCTCGTCTCCTTTGGAGGTCACTGGCTATGACCGGTCATTCGCTATCATAGCTACGAACGTAGCTGGCATGACCGACGGAGCTACGACGTCTCGCACTCTGCACCCGCAATGGATGGTGACGAGACGGGGCATAGGAGGGCAAGGCTAGGAAGTCGCTTGATGTCATACCATGTTACTAGTTCATCTTGTCAATAGTAGCTTCTTGTTGCCACAGTAGTAATATGTAGTAATTCACTTGTTACTAGTAGCGATGCACTTTCTTATGGTGCTGCCAAACTCCTGGTGCCCTTGCATTTGCCCAGGTGCCTTTGCATTTGCGGCAGAATTGGTTCGAAGAGCTGTTGCGCTTGCGCCGAAGAAGAGCACGCTTCCTTTGGCTGGACACACCAGTGGCAAAACTCTTTACTCCACAGGAGATCTTCGGATTTCACGTTAGATCTAGGGGTTCAGATGACGAACGTCAGTACCAGGACCCTCCTGTCGGGGTGCCCTGTCTGGAAGCCTAGTGCGGTAGTGTGGGGTAGTCCAGCCAGGACACCCCGAAGGTCGGAGGGTCCAGGTATCTGATGATGTTTCTTTTTTATTATACCAGGACCCTCCAAGGGGTGCCCAATGGAAGCCTATAGGTAGTGTGGGGTAGTCCAGCCAGGACACCCCGACAGGAGGGTCCAGGTATATAAAACGTTTTCCAGCACTTGAGTTGAATTGGGGATGCAGCACCTTATGTTGGGCCCTCAAAGCTGTCACAGCCTTTCGAAACGGTTCCCCAGGTTGGTGTTTCGGATCTGGCAACAAGCCTGAACAGGAGATTTACAGCCATAAGTTGGTTCCCACAATTGCCCAAACAGGTGAAATCATTGAATTAATATCAATGGCATTCGTGCAGCTCCAAAGTGAACTCTCCTTGTGTGGGTGGCTGACCATCCCAGATTTCTTTGCCCAACCCTAAAAGATGGGACATGACTCATGACTCTATTGAAAACATGCTACTTGTACTTGTACCCATTTTTTCGGAGGTACAACCTGAGACTCCAGGTATACCAGCTGTGCCCGCCAGATCTACCAGCCCCCTTCACATCCACACGCGTATAGAGGAGGAATGGAAATCCCTCCGAGCTCAATCCCTGCGCTGCGCGCTGCAGCGCGCCTTGCGACACTTCGCTGGGCCCTTGGAGGATCTCGAGGTGGGGCTTCAGCACGCAAGAGAGGGCTGTCGGTGCAGGATGGTGCAGGGGTGAAGGCCAAAGCGCAGAGCATGTCATGGCTTCTAGAGGTTTCAATCTACCAGACGCTCCTGGTCCTTTAATTTCAATATATATATGGAGGATCAGTCCCTCATATGGAGGGGTTTGGGGTCTCAAATTTCGAGGTTTGATGGACCACGGGCTGTTTGGAGCGTTTGGCTAGGTCAAGAGGATCAAGAACTCTACCCACGACGCCATCCAACAGCATCCCAACAGCCAGATCCGAGGATTCGTGGTCCACCATTAATTGAATAGGCCGAATCCTGAAGAACCAGTATGCTACCAATTACCAAGCTTAAGGACTTTTTATACCCTGCAAAGACAGGTCATCGCCGCCCTCGGCATGTCGGAGGCACTACTGCGGCCGATGAGCCCCGATGCCCTGGGGCAGCACCTGCTGAGGCTGAGGCAGGGCTGAGGCTGCTGGAGTCGACCTGTGAAAGATCTTGGAAATTGAATAAGAGATGATAAGAGTACACCAGGCTGAGAGAGCCACATCCATGGTGTCTCAGGGTAGTTGGCCTGAAGGATTGCATGGAGAGGAGTCCATCACCAGGGGTCACATGGAGGCCTGGGTGGTGTGTCTCGTTCCATCCAGGAGCCATGGATGTGACATGACCGGGCACCCCAACGGCGCCGGATAGCACCCCTTCGAAACCCCTGTTTTCTAGGGTCGTGTCCCATTTGCTAGGGTACCTTAGAGGGTCCAGGTACTAGGTACATCAGAGTCTATGGGCTTTAGTACCTTTTTTGGTTGGATCATGTCCCATCTTCGTTCGGGTCCGAACGAAGTCAGGTCCGGGTACTACTGATTCACACATGTCGCGATCGACTATGGAACAGAGTCGATTCCCGAGAGACTTCATGGGTATATATAGTATACATGCAGGCAATGCAGGTATGTATCACATGGACCCCCTAAAGCAACCCAATGTAGGCACACATTTCACATATCCTACATGGAGTGGTTGGGTTCCCACATGATGTATTTTCAGAAAAGTTGGGTCGTTAGAGGGATCCCAAACCACAGCGCCCTTCAACGGGACAACCAAAGCTGCTTGGGCAGCGGACCACCAAAGAGCCTTTTGTTCTTTCTACTTGGACCCCTGGGCTCAGCCATGCCATTGCCAGGCTGGGATTTGCTGCCTCCGACGTGCAGGCGAAAAGTTTCCGACGGCGCGGCGAAAAGAAGGGCGGCTTCTAGAGACCATGCATGGTGTATACATATATACAGTATACAGTATATATGCCTACATTGACCCCTGAAACCACCCCAATGTATGTAAATATGCAATACATGGAGTGTCTGGGATAGATGGGCGGAGCTTGGGACGAAAACATTCCGCCCTCCCCCCCCCCCGAAGCCCTTGAGGTTTGCTCCTGCTACATCCTAGATACCTTCCAACATGGAGCGGCTCGTTCCTTCACCTCATTGGCATCATTTCCCAAGTCCAGTCGAGCCAAGTTAAACCTGGTCCTTGACACTTGACCTCATTGAGTACTGGTTTTGCAAGCCCCGGACCTAGTCCAAATGAGGTCCTTGACCATGTAGGGTTTCCTTCAAGACGTGTTTTTGCGGGAACCAACCACCCCACTCAAGGCTTTGTGCGTTTCGTGCGTTTTGCGTGTTTTGAGTCACATAACGTCGCTATTCATGACTTCCACTGAATCGGACCGTGTCACACGTACCCGTGTGTGTCGACCAGACTGTCAGGCAGGCGAGTGTGGGATTGTCACAAGTCCGAACCCGACAAACACTGTTCCATACTGTTCCTATACCTGGACCCTCCAAGGGGTGTCCAATGGACTACCCCACACTACCTATAAGCTTCCATTGGGCACCCCTTGGAGGGTCCTGGTAGGCTCCACGAATTCCGAAGTTGCTTGGGAACCTACTCCGAAGTTGGCTGGTGGGATTCACTCAAGATCCAGTCAGCAAACCTAGGGAATCACTGCCACCCTCTGAAGAGGTGGCCTGTGGCAGTGGATCCGGATCCTCCCAGGGCTGGAGATTGAAAGCAGACCGGACCTGCTCATGTGGTGTCATATCTGGGCATAGCAGGCCGGCCTTGTCCATGGGGGAAGCGGGGTGTTTGGATGCGGAAAGCATCTGAATCCATTTGGACATGCACCATGAACAATGCACCATGACAGCAGCACAAAGCAGAAAGCAAAGCTTGCTTGCTAATCGATAAACCATGACCTCAAACTCAGTACACCGACTGTGAGAGGCTCACAGGTGTCGATCGAACATTTGATGGTGACTCGGGTGGAAGCTTGTTGAGCGAAGTCGCTTTCACGAAGCCACCATCTTGGTGCAATATACCAGCTGAATCCAGCTGATGAGTAAAAGATCATCATTTTGGGCTATCTGTGATGGCCTGTTCAATGTTCAGTGGCATGTTCACAGGGGGCGCCCCGCTTCCGCAGCCCCTTGTTCACAGGGGTGCGAGTCGTCAAACACTCGAACCAGGCGGGGACATGTGGGATGATACCCGAGACTGCCAGGATGCTGTGAACATGCTGCCGCTGACGGGTGGCATGGTGGTGGCGGAAGAAGCCTTTGAAGCAGCTTGGGTTTGAACTCAGTAGCGGCATCACGATAGGTGACTCAAACCCAGTGGAAGTGACATACAGATACACATTCGGCAGTATATACAAGGTATATATATATATATATATGATATCCTACCCAGAGGATCAATGGGTTCTGTCTGGGAGGGGTTCGGCCCTGGAAGTGAGGGGTCCGGCCGCAACCCTGTGGTTAAGAGGGGTCGGGGCCCTCATCGAGTGGAGCTTGAGGGGTCGAGGGTCCGAGGCTCAAGATCCCAAGGGGGCCCATGGATCATCTCCTTCAAGAGACAGGCATAGAAGAGCATTGTGTTCTGACTTAGCCATAGCGAGGTTAAAATCATTCAAGAAGGTTGTCCCAACATGTCCCAACCCTAGTGCTCTTCCATACGCTCACATTCGATGGCTGGACATGTGGAAGATACGCGGCCGGCACCGAGAAGGACCGGCCACTATTGTGTTTAGCGCAATTGTTCATCTGTCTGGCATGGGCTTCCATGACATATGAATCTTTGTGTGACCTCTATGTTGGATCACTAACCATCCAAAATATGGTCCAACTTCCTATCATTAATGTTTGGGTTCAAGAGCGGTGGGGAACAGTCTGGGTTCATCGTTCCCCTGGCCTTTTGGTAATTTTGTGTATGCTATTGTATGCTTGTGTGTAACCAAAAAAGGTAAGACCTAAGACATCCTAATATATTAAGACATTCCCTTGAATCCTTGAATCTTTGGATCGTTACGAAATCGTAACCAGAAGTAAAAGCTGTTTGATTTGGAGGTGTGAGGTGTCCTGCACTTTTCAAGGGGTGCAAAAGAAGAAAAGCAACAAACATGGTTCGTTCCAGGCGTTTGTCGGGGTGGCTCATGGAGCTGCGTCAATGCATCCTACATAGCCCGTAGCCTCCAAAAGGACCTCTTTGGGGGGGCTCCAACTAGATTCATTTCGAAGGTTGTGGGGTAGGTGTTTGGCACAAACTTGGATTGCTTGTTTCCAGGAAGGACACTCCTCGAGCCATCTCGAGTCGACAGCTTCATACCTCACCATACGACATGGTGCAGTCGTACCATGTCGTAGCAGCTTTTGTCCAAACATAGTCATGTGCCGACTTGAAGTTGGGTCCAGGAGTTTGTTGCCTTTCGCCGTCACAGCTCTCAGCTCCGCAGCCTCGGGCCGCGGTGGTTTCTCAGGTGCCAGCGGCCTTGGCGGCGCAGCGCGAGCGGCGTGGCTTGAAAGCGGCTGAACTGGCGCAGGCGGGATGGGGATGGGATCTGAAGCTCATGATGCTGGGAAAGTCCAGTGCACAGCTTGTGCAAGTCTTTTTGGATTCCGAAGTACGAAACCCGTGGAATCTGCAGGATGATTGGGGACTTACTGAAGAGGTGGAAAAGGTTCGCTTCAACACTCTATGTTCGTAGGGATCAGAAAGCATTTGGGAGTCAGGTCACACGCTCGGGAGTTGGAACTCCAGGTGGAGTCTTTTGTGAGTTTGCTCCGGCCAATGGGTCAGTTGATGATGTTGATGGGTGCGCCTGAAATCCGTCGTTTTCACTATGGGAACGTGTGGAAAGGTCGATGTTCCATGCTTTCGGATGCTTTTGGATGCTTTTCGGGAGTTCCTACTTCAAATGGCACCTGAGGTATCAAGCCAAAGCGTCGTGTGGTCTTCGTCCTGGTCCGGCGACCGGTTCGGCGACCAGAGACACATTGGCTGGGCGACCAGGTGTTGCTTAGGATGCTTAGGCCTACCCAGGGAGCACCTGGCCTTCAACCTTTGGGATAAGAACTGCAAGACATATAAAGGTTTATTATATAACTGCCTATCCAGGGACACTGAGTGAGTCAGCTGGGGACAGTTGAGCCAACCGGTGGGGATGCTCCCTAAGGCCCTAAGGGTGCAGGACCACTGGAAGTACGTATACTCACCTGCAAGACCATCCTAGGGAGGGACCTGGACCCCATGGCTACCCGCCATAGCCGAACCTCGCTCGGCAGACGTCGTGACATGCTCCATGCAGCGTCGTGACGACTGCTCAGGCAGAGGCAGAGCACTTGGAGAAAGCTCAGCGCGTTTGGAGCTGCAGGACCAGCCAAGCCGAGGGGTGGAGACTGGCGCTTAGACTCTGACGAACGAAACACATCACATGGTTACGTGGATGGGATGGTCCCGAGAGGAGGATTCCTTTCCTCTATAGGAACAGCAGGTTTTCCACTTCCCATTCCTCCCGTCTGGGCTCCTGGCCCACCTCAGAAGGTCCCGGGACCGTGGGTGAACGTGACTCATGACTCCTCAGCGACGACAACGCGGGCGCGGGCGGCTCGGGCTCTCTCGTCTCGGACTGTATAGTAGCGTCCGATCGCTCCGTTCGTAGCGATGCCAGGAGCCCCGTTCGTAGCGTCGGTTCCTAGTAGCTCTCTCGTACATGTAATGCCTATGGAACGTGCATCGGTATCCATCCATCCAGGATTCAACTCCATCCGGTCCGCTTCGAACAGAAGTTCGGCACGAAGAGACATCCCTCATGCCCGGAGATGTCCTACCGGTGGGCCTACCGGTAGAGGTCGAGACCGCAGTGCCGGGGTAGTCCCGCTGTGTCAGACGTCCGGCGTCCGGCTCATCGTCGATGTCCTGCAGGGAGGTTCCCAAACGTTCGGCCGAGATCCTGGCTCCAGATTCAGGGAGATCCTGGTTCCCTATTGGAATGATGGTTCCCTAGTTTCCAATAGGGGATCATCAGAATCTCCTGGTTCCACACATTGGGTTCCCAGTTCGCCAGGGTTCCCGGAGTGTTCTCAGATCCGCCAGTGGCTGGTCTGACGCAGGAATTGCACCTTCATGAACAGCGCTTTGAGCAACACTTGCGCAGCTGCTGGGAGTTGGAACTTCTTTGAGGTCGAAATACGTCGTGATGGGTCTTGACTGTATCTCCTGGTCGATGTATCTCCTCCAACCAGGAACCTCAGAACCTGGACCTGGCGACTTGTTCGGAGCCGATTCGGAACGTGGGCACACCCGAAGCAACCTCAACAACCTACGACGACGGGGCTTCAGGTCGAGGTCTGTGACACAGGTCGACTATACAGGTCTCTTCATGCCTTAAGCCGCAACCTCCAACGGATCAATTCTGCAGTCGGGATTTTTCAGCCGCGATCAAAGCAACAGATTCAGTGACTCACCAGAAGTTAACAGGGGGCCTTGAGACTTCAGTCTTGTAGAGGACCGCAGAAACCAATCATTTTGGATCATGTTGGTTATCTTGTAGTGACCAAGTGAAGCAACATCAGAAGCTTTCTCTATACCCAGATACCTTCAGCTTAGGACTCTCGGCTGAAATCCCAAGTGGCGTTTGACAAAGGGCTTGGCACAGAAACGTTTGGGGAGTTGAACCAAGAGTCAAGCAGATGGGCACAGAGGTCTTAGTCCATGGCACAGAGAGCTTTGCATCCCTGCACCAAAACTAGCTTTCAGGTTTCAGTCCAATGACCCTGTGTGACCCTGCGTTTCAGTCCAAGGACCCTGGCTTTGACCTCGCTGGTCATTTGCTAGTTGAGGTGTGCGACTACGGATGGACTGGGCAGCGCGAATGCCCCAGTGACAAGTGGTGCTGCAGCGCTTCCACAGGAGCGTCGGTGACGTCGCGGGTCACCGTGTCGACCGGTGGAGTGTCGGTACGAAGACCTGGAGGCGACCCGTCTTCGTAGCGGTCCCCCCATGGGGTACAAGTGACCACCCGAAATCGGGGGATCATGTCCGTCTAACGGTCGGGACCGGGGGGATTTGCAGGCTGTGGAACGTTGACCTCTCAACCGGATTCAATGACACGGGGGAAGATTCACATGGAACCTGAAAACCTGTAGAGGAAAATAGTCCAAAGGTCCATTTCCGGTTCCATGTTAGTTTTCGGGAGTGTCATCACTTTGCTTGTGATTTATAGAGGTTGAACTGAGGGGTCTCCCTATTACTACACACCCAAAAATGGCGCTTGGTGAGTGGAGTTGACCTGTGAAAGTAGCTCCGGAAGATGGGTTACTAGATGTTATAAGATGTTATAAGTACCATCAAGTACCTTGTTGGGGGTTCGGGTCATTTGTCCCACTTTGGAAGGTCATTCAATTACTTCAATCATGAACATGAGAGTCAAGAATGACTGCCCGTTTTTCAAATGGTCCTACTCCGCTCTTGGACAAAGTCATATTCAATGTATTCCCATGACCCATGTGGTCTTGGAGGCAATGTTTGAGGATACAGAATGTATTCCCATGGCGTTTGTCGCCATCCTCTGTTCCAGCTGTGTGGACCCTTTCGTGGACCCGTCCGTTGATTCCCTCCAAGCCATCCTGATTCCATGCAGCAAAACATATGCAGCAGACGGGAGCAGCCAAACATGGCATAGGAGTGCATGTTTGTCCCTGCTGGTACCTACTTGAATTGGAGGGTTGTTCGCCAACGCTTTTGTTGAGGGTCATTGAGGTTTAGAACCTTTCTTGTGGCAAGAGCCAAGTTGGTATCTACTTCAAAAATGCTGCTTGACAACCTCGAGACATGCGCTCGTAACGTGGGCCATGGGGGCCTTGATACTATAATATATGTTCAATAAGTAACATCCACAAACTCCAGCACAAGGGGTGAGAAGCAGCGCGTGTTCCTGTCCAGGAGGCTGTACCTTCTTCAATCCCAAGACGCTCTTCTACTGTGAGGCTGGCGCGGCGATTTGTTCCTAACACAGGTCGTCAGGTATTAGTGTGGTCCAAGGGGCTGTGAGTATCCTCAACTTCTCTTGAAAGAGAGTGTCGCAGACATCAAATTGTACCGACCACCACAATCAATGAGCTCTTGTGCGATGAGATCCCACAGAACTAAGTTGCTGAAAGGTGGATTGATTTCTTAGGTGTCCCATGGTCTCCCGCGCGTTTCCGAGGCCCTCCGGCATGCATCAAGTCTCTTGATTAATAGTCTATTGTGGAGTCTAATGTGGACTCTTGATTCATACACACCCTCATTTGAATTGGAACTCCTCTGGGGGTTCTTTCAATCAAGAGTCTACAGTAAGTGGCATGGAAGAAGTTTCTTCCTGACCTGTCCAGTCTTCCTGACCTGTCCAACGGGAGACCTTCAAGCTCTCTCAACTGTTTAGCCCCTACAGCTGCTCGACATACACAACAACTAGGACAGTTCACCGTGGCTGTGGGTTATGGCACCAGGGGACCCTGTTTTTTTCCCATTGAAAATGAAGAATAGACTACTAGACATAGCCAACCTGGGGTGAAACGAGCTCCAGGTTTTGACCCAGACCCAAGTCAGCAAAGAGCTTGTTCTTTTTGACCTGTGATGAACAGGGCTTTGTGTGTCGCTTGCCCTTCTGTAACTGGACTTATATCCTGGAAGGCATGAGAGTCATGTCAGAGTGGTGATGTGATGACTGTACATTTTGGATGTGCGTTTGTAAAGAGCAGACACACACACACACACTAACACAGTCATGTAGGTTTTACAAAACTACCTGGTTGTCAGGGCGGAGCGACTGAGGGTCTTTGGGGATATCCATTTTCCCTTCAGTTCCCCATGAAACGGGGAGCTGCAACTCAGATCGCTCCCGCACATGTTTCCCAACCCGACAGCATGGTCCAGCGCACCACGGGCTGAAATACGGAACTGGTCTACTGGTGCCAGTCCACTCGCGTGTTTCTGTCCAATGCGGATCTATGGCGGTTTCTGTTGCCACAAGCCACCTCGCAGGTCCCGTCGCGCATCCAACATCCTCGCTGCTCTCGAGTGAAGCAGCGATCGCCAGGTCTGTGGCCGGGTACGTCCAGATCTCGCCAGCATGGCTTTCTGAAGCAGCCCAGACCATCCCATGGGGCTGGAATAGTTCAGGGATGTGAAGGGCCCGAAAACAAAGGGGGCGCCTCCAAAATGCGCTTACTGTAGCTGTAACGTTACATAGGATTTAGCCCACTTTTGATCCTAATTTAATGTATCCTGCTAGTGTAACATATAGGTATAACATTGGCATAACTATTCCATTCCCATGGATGGTCTGGCAGCCTTTGGGTCCTTTGGACGCAGGTTCTGTGCCAGCCGTGGTGCAGTTGAGCAACTCACACTTGCAGTTGGACCTTTCATTTGCTTCATAGAATCATTTATGGAACCGAGGCCACTGGACCTCCACTCGGCCTAAGCAAAGTGCAAAAGTGCATAGAATCATTTGGGACCGCATTCCGGTCTAAACCTTTGTTTTTTGCAGACCCAGCACAGAAGGAACGGCGCGGGTTCATTCTGCGTGTCTTTAGTAAATAGAGGCCTCGTGCAGTGTTTGCAGATGGCTGTTACAAAGGTCCAGGCCAATAGTTGCCTGGCCTAATACCTCTCTGCCGTGTGGCGAGCTTGGTCAGAGGCTGAAAGCAAAAGCACGTTTACCTCTTGGAGTCTGAGAAGAAAGCCCTTTTGCAGCTTTGCTGTTTTCCAAAACCTCCATGTTGACCCACCCAAAATTGTAAGTTAGATTTTTGAGGTCCCCCTGAAGGTTAAGGGAGTAGTGATCCTGCAGGCGTTTTCTTCCCGCGATCCAAAAAAACATGGTGGAACTGCGCACACCCCAACTTTGCCAAGAAGAAGTGCTCTTCCAGCAATGGCAAGAAGTTACTAGCAGCTCCTGGCATTACTACTAGTAACAAGAAGCTACTAGTAACAAAGGGCATCGCTACTGGAAGCAAGGACGCACTCAAACCGTGTTGCAAGATTGTGTGCTTTTCTTTTGGATACACCTGCAGAGACCTGAAGATCCATCGCACCTTAAAGTACCCTAGAGAATGGGGCATGACCCTATTAAAAAAAACAACAACAACAACAACAACAAGTTGATAGTACTTTATATTACTTACTTACTGTATACAATTGTTGCACCCATGTCCTAAGATACTTTGAGACTCCATCTATGAACATCTGACCTTATATTCTTGTTGTTCGCAGCCACTGGCTACTTGCCACCACCTTCGCCTGGCAGAATTTCAGCTAGTCCAGTGATGTTGGTGGTTCTCGTTGGCAGAATGACTTGCAGGTGAGCTGTTTTGGCCAACGGCCCTTCTGACTATCACATGCACAGCTAGAGTCAGAGTACGATCGTAAATATGTGTATATCTTCCAATTCTCTATTCTATGATGATATAATTATGTCAACATATATCCATATGGTCCATGATGATGGTCCCCGTGTATCCATGTATCCTACATCCACCCCCCTCTTGAGCAGGTGGTAGGTCTGTGGAGGGTCTGTGGTCAGGTGGGCGTCTCCAAGAATAGGGGATCCAGCTCACTTTCCTACTACTCAATGGGTAGTTACCGGGGTTTCTAGTTGGCATGTGTTGGACTTCAAGGAATCAAGTCTGTGGACAAACCTGCATGGGTTGTTCATTTGATAGCTCTGTTTGTTTGATGAATGTAGGACCTGTCGATTCCTGCTAATGCATACATGATTTTCCATTCATTTCAGGTTGTTGATCTCGTGAATCCGAAACATCTCGGTTCACGAGGGCCCTTGAGCGTAAGACTAGCTACGACATCGACGAAAACAAGGTGCGGAAGACCGAGGATCTTGGACTAGACTTCGAGGGCTAGACGATTTCCAAGTTGATATTGGTAGCGGAGCACGAGACGCTCCTCACGGCATTTGACGACGGTGAGACTTCGTGTTTGAAGAGCGCTACGTGATCCTGTGAAAGGGTTTCGTGACACTCACCTCACAGATCGTGATTGGCGTGGCAGGCTGATGTCTCAGGCCGCTGCAGGAGCTGAACGAAGCTCACCGGTGAGGAGGACAGGGACCCGACGTGTCAGGACACCCAGAGAGTTTGACTTCCCGGACGAGACAAGACCTAGAATAGCGTTAGCTGAAGGTGATGGGGGCAGAAGAGACAACGGAGGTTTCAAAGGTTTGGATTCCGGATTGTCGAAAGCATGTCCCTCCACAGATGGTTTGAGTCAGAAAACATACAGAAGCTTTCGCAGAAGAGTTGAGTTGTTTGAACGACAATGTCATCGACGCAATGTTGACACCGCAGTTGAGGGTACATTGTTGTTGATTTCAAGGTTGCAAGATCTGGCATGGGATTCTACAGAGCAAATTTCTTTTGAGGCTTTGGAACGCAGTACACAACCTTTCACCTTTGTGTACGAAATCCTGGACAACCTGTACCAATATGAAAAGCAGGTTGAAGTGCCTTCCCGCTGTGAAGAGTTTTTCGCGGAATTCCAGAGGTTGAAGAATGAGGACATGACCACGTATTTGGTGAGACACCGGACTCTTCTGAAGCGCATGCGAGATGTTGGAGTTGAAGTCCCAGCATTGCTCAGTGGTTGGCATTTGTTGACCAGATCAGGAATTCCCCGTTGGACACATGTTCAGGTGAAAGCATTGTGCCAAGGTGAATTGGAGTACGAGAAAGTTCACAAAGCATTGATGAAGATGTTTGGTGGTGATCACAAGCCAAATCCTAAGGACTTGCAAAGGACCAGCAATTCCACAGAAGTGTTCTTCGAGGATGACTATGACGTCGAAGACGAAGAAGGATACTATGGTGAAGACGACTTCAATGACTGGTGGGAGGAAGAAGTGAATTTTGAAGAATGGCAAGATGATGAACCGTGGCCTGAGGAGCTAGATGAAGCTGTTGACGCCACAGAAGAAGCCTACATATCCTACCTGGACAGTCGTCGACGGATGAGAGAGCTGGCCCTATCCAGAGGATTTTACCCCGTGGTTGCCATTGGACCTGAAGCAGATGGACGTGGTCAAGGATCCAAAGGTAAAGGAAGCAGTAAAGGGCAGAGCAAAGGAAAAGGAAAAGGAAAGAGTGCAAAAGGAAAAGGAAAAGGCAAGAGCAGCGGGTTCCGGAGGACCTTTGACAACAGAAGGCCAATGTCTGGACTTAGGAGACCAACTACATCCAGTTCCAGCAATAGCAGCACAAACACCAATGACCTGAGATCCACTTTGTCAGGCTCAACCGGCAGTCACGGGCCAAGATTCAAGCGGTTCCGTGTGCAGTCAAGTGGAGTGAAAGAAGTGCCTGAAGAGCAAGTCTCAATGGTGGAAGAGAGTGGCAGCGTTGAAGAGTGTTATTTTTCAGCACTGCAACCAGGTCGAGCAATTGTGGATTCAGGTGCTACCAGGACGATAGTTGGTGAGAAGGTTTGGAAAGATTGGCTGGACCATGCACGAGGCTTGCCAGTTCAAGTCACTCAGATCGCTCGTGATTTCAAGTTCGGTGGAGGAGAAACACTTCGTTCAAACTATGACATCACCTTCCCAGCCCGTGTATGTGGACAAGACCTTGAAGTGACCGCTTCTGTTGTACCAGGGCAAACACCGTTCCTTCTGGCACGACCGACGCTGGAAGATTGGAAGGTGCAACAGGATTACGAGAAAGGAAGCTTGAAGATCAAGGATTCAGAATGGTTCAAGCCTGAGAGGGGAAAGAAAGGGCACTACATCGTGAACCTCCTGGAGTTTGAGAACGAAACATTGGGAGTTGAAGAAGTGCTCGCGATCCCTGAGGATGTGACAACAGCATGGCCCGTGGAGGACGATGTGTGGTACATTGAACCTTCGATGGACAAGGAAGTGACAGGTGACCTCCAGTTCGTTGAGTTGGAGATTGAAGAGGAGTCCATGATTGAAGAAGCAATGAAGGCAGTTGAACAAGACCGGATGATGACCTTCTTCGAGGTGTATGTGGATGAAGGACAGTTGTCGAAGACTCTTCTATCCAAACATGAAGATGTCTGTGTCGCGAACTTCTCTCTACCTGAGTGGGACTTCACGAAAAGTCATGTGAGAAAGGAGTTTTTGCAGTTGATGAAGCTTGAGCGACCCCGACATGTTTGGATGGCACCTCCATGCACGAAATGGTCATCAATGCAGAATTTGAATGCCACCACGGAGGAGGAGAAACAGAAGTTGGAGGAAGTGAGAAAAGATGAGGAGAAGACACACCTCAGCTTTGTGTCGCAGGTCTTCGAAGTTGGAGAAGAGATCGATTCCGGTGTCAGCTTTGAACATCCCAGGTGGGCAAAATCATGGGAAACCAAGACCATGAAAGACCTGGAGAAGAAGAATATACAGGATGCAGAATGTGACAGATGCCGGACCGGACTGATTCTTCGTGACCAACGAGGACAAGTGCTGGGCAAAGTGAAGAAACCCACCAGAATCAGAACCAACAGTCCTTCAGTCCATGAGGCCCTGCATTTGAAGTGTCAGTGCAAAGCAGGCGAGCATGTGAAAATGGAAGGCCGTTCCAAAGAGCTGAAGCAGATGCAGAACTATGAGAGTGGATTCACAGAAAAGGCTGCAGATGCTATCTACCAAGACATGGTTCGAAGATGGCGAAATGAAGAAACTTTGAAGATCTTCATGATGGACGAGATGGATGAGATGGAGATTGAGGAGAGCAAGAATGAGGAAAAAGTCGTCAGTCAGAGTGACAAAGAAATGATGAAGACGCATGGAAAGAAAGCTCTCCAGATCGTGAACAAGCTCCACAAACAACTCGGCCATCCTGGAAACGACAAATTGGTGAAGGCCTTGAAGGACGCGAAGTTTCCTGAAGAAGTGATTGCCTGTGCTCGAAAGTACAAGTGCGACATTTGCCAGAGCGATTCATTGAAGAAGAATGCAAATCCAGCAGCTTTGACCGAAGCCACCTTCTTCAATGAGATCATTGAGATGGACACCTTCCATATGAAGTGGAATGATGAGAAAGTTCGAATTTTGGCAGTGATTGATTTGTTCACGAAGTATGAGGTGAATGCACTGCTGAGTCGCGAAACAGAAGAAGA